TTCTGAAGAAGATGAAATGGCTCTCCAACAGAAGCACTAACAATGCTGATCTTGAGAGATAAAGCAGTTAAATTTGGACTACATTGAAATCTCACTCAGTCATGAAGCTTCCAGGGGAACTTTGAATCAGTATACAATTTGCAACCTAAGCTCTCTCTCTCATGGGGATTAAATGGAGTGGAAAGGAATAGAACCATCTAGTTCATCTTGAGCTTGAAGGACGAAAGGGGCAGGTCTATCACAGCCTTCATCATACCTTTATCAAGCAATAAAATGGTAGTTCAGCACTAGAGGAATTGCTTTTCCTTCATTGTTCTCTTAGGAACGGCAGCATTATTGTGGTGCATAAAGTCATCTCCCAAGTCCCAGTAAAGAACAGTTTGCAAATGATCCAGAAGCAGATGGAGAATATTACAGTGTCAGTGAATAACTCCTTGAAAGACATCCATACCGAAGGGAACTGTAGCATCCTTTCAGGTATGGGCTGGCTTGGTCAAACTCTTCCACTTGGATACGGTTTCCCTTGACTGAGAGATAAGCAAGATTCTTGGGCTATTTCTTCTTTCAGTCGAGAGTCTTTTTTCTTCAGAGTCTTATGTTTTGATAGAGACAGAAAGCTACAAATACTGATATTTGTATTTTGGGAGATGGGAGATAAATCATAAATCAGGTAGGAGATCTACCTATGTAAGCTTAATTAACAACATTCCTCAAGGCTGTAGCACAATATTCAATTAAAACCAGTGAGATTTGCCTTTAAATCAAAACTGAGGTGTTGAATAAAACAAGGTTTGAACTAAAGATACTAATTGTGTTGGCACTATGCTGGGTTGTCATTTAAAGAATTTCTACAAAATTCAAAATATGTTTTTTATAACATTCATTATGTTTAGATTTGGCTTGTTCCTGACATCTAAATGATCTGATATTTTCTAGTTCTGTTGAATTATCCTATTTAAATTTTAAATTTAGACACTGATGAATTTTTGACATCCCAGTTGCTGATTTATTCTATCCCAGACTGCTTCAAAAGGATGATTTTCCTTTGGGGATCAAAAGGACCTATTTAATAACAGAATGTTTTGGGTGTACAAGGATCTCGGAGGAAATATGTTAACCAACGCAACTATATTGTTTTCTTCCAGACCCAGAACTGTGCTTTGTTCCTTTACATAATTCAATTCGTGACACAACTGTACTTTTTTCACCAGAAGGTAAGTTCCAGTAAATGGATGGGTGGATAATGATAGTTCTGTCAAGATTATCAGGAGTAACGTTTACATTTTTAAATTACTTAATTTTCTATCCATATTTTAAATGTGTAATTGCTAACAGTACCATGGATGTTTGAACCATTGGCTTTTCATACATAAACAGAAGTCCCTGGAAGATTTGGTGATATACAGTTGCAGTTAACCAATCAATCAATCAATCCAGTCAGTCAATCTCATCTAATTCTTTTATGTCAACATGTAGTGTCAGCCCCATAACTCACTCATGAGGAACCTCTAGCAGGCCAAGGAGACCCACCAGACCAAATCCCTGGAAGATTTGGTAGTATATAGATGTAATCAATCAATCAATCAGTCAGTCAGTCAGTCAGTCAGTCAGTCAGTCAGTCAGTCAGTCAATTAGTCTCCTCCAGCTCCTATATGTCCACTTGTAGTATCAGCAGTGAGGCAATGGCAGCAGAAGAAAGTGCAGAAAAAGATGTGCAGGTCATGCTAACAGATGTTGTCATTTATGCTCTTCTCTAGACAGCAACTAGACATCCATGTTAAAGTCCCAATCCTTGAGCCAGCAGAAAAACTTATGGGCGTAAATTGCCAGTCACGACACTGGCGTAGTTGTGAGGCCTGCCTATGGTGCTGTCATTTTTGTTAAATGTAAGACAAGTTAAGGAAAGTGATTGATGGATTCCCTGGCTTCATTTCACCTCCCATTAAGTTTCATCTCCTGACAGGAAAATAACCTTCAGTCATTCTTCCTAAAGAGGGGTATGTCTGGGGCAGGGAGAATGTAGGCAGGTATGTGGAGGTGGAGGCTAACCATTTATGGAATTGTCCTACTAACAGATCACAGGCATGCAAGTACTTTGTGCCCGTAGCCTGTCAACCATGCTATTTCTGAACATGCGTTTAGTGCTCTTCTGAAAGCACTAAGCCTGTGTTCCAAATAATCTGGCTAATAGGCCTCAGGTCTGTAGTAGAGGCATGAGGTGCAGCTCTCCCATGTGTCTTCTTGTTCTAGTCCCTCTTCCATCAAAATAATAAAAACAGTAAAAAGGGTGCCTACGTGAATCCCTTTGTTGCCAAAAGCTGCACAAAATCTCTAATGCACCCAAGGGTGACAAAAGCAGTAGCAACACAAAGTGGGCAGGATTTGGCTTTCTCTTCCACTTTAAATTGACTTTCTATGCAGCAGAAAACTTGCAGTCTCTCAAGAGAGCAGCAGATACACTTGGAAACATCAGTTCAGCATTCTATTTGGGGATGCAACACCCGCCTTTCTAAGAAGCCCCTTATCGGCTCTGGAAAGCGCCAGTGAGGCATCCTGTAGGCAGATTCCTCTTAGGTAGCCAGGGGTTCATCTCTCTCGCAGCCAAACTGAAATAACACGGAGGTGGTTCTCAGCCCCAGAGGGGAGGGGTCATGTGGGCAGCCACCTTGTTGGTGGAGTGTGTCAGACACTACCCATGGCAAAACTGTGCCAGGAGAAGAGGGAAAACATGATTTTAAAACTGGAACAGCTAAAGACAAGTTTAATCTGCCTCGGCAGTGGGCTGGGGATGAAAAAAAGGCAATATCACAAAGATACTGTTAAGAACATTTGCAGCACATACATCCAGGGCAAAGGCAATGGGGCTTTTATTTTAAAATTCCAGAATTCAGAGACCTCTCTTGCCTAGTTACACCCTTCTTTCTTTTTATAGCATTTTGTTACAAGTTTTAAATCCATCTCTTGTAAGCCTTAAATTCACCAAGAGAATGCAAACAAAGGAGAGGAAATTATACAAGCAATGGCAGAGGGGAGAACTTGATGGACTTTAATGATCAGGAGATTGAGCATTGCACAATGATTCACAGTCCTTATTGAGTTATAGCCAGTTATAGTAAATTTATAATATATTTATATTGAATAAATTAAATTAATTAAATTAATATATTATATTAAATATATATAAAGTTATAGTAAAGATCAGTCTTAGCTGTGCTCCATCTGAGACTTAATCTGTTAAGTATTTCTTAAGAATTGGGGGAAGAATTCAGTAATGTTGAGGATGTATTTGAATAATAATGGAAAAGCAGGGTGGGAAATTCAAGGTAGAGGAATCATAAAGGAGAAAATATTGAGTTAGTAAGCTTGTCTTTTTCTAAAACCCAAAATGGCTGTGAGTAAATATTACAATATAAATAGAATAACAACAAAAAGTTAAAAAGCAATTATTAGGGCATATTTATACTATAGTTGGGGGTCTATGAGGAAGAAACCAAAGAAAGATAGAAAAAATAATAAATCTCCAGTTCCTATATTTCTATTTGCATTTTAATACTTGTTTGCTGAGCTCTACTTGTACATTCTTCCAGCTTCTGCATTTGCTTGTTTCAGCTCTTAACCATCTTCTTGATTCTCTATTTCTGAAGTTGCAGTTCCATCCTAGTGACAACTCACTTCTGCTCAGATATCTTTTCTTTCCTACCATAGGAGGATATTTCTCAAAACTGGTGTTGCGCTTTGCATGGGGCAGATTAGTGGGGGAGAAGGATTATCTTGCAAAGTTTCGGCAAGCTTGCTGCATCTCTGTCATCAGATCATAATTTGGTACAATTCTTTCATTTGTCCTGTATGAAATGTCCACATTTCATTAGATGATGAGTACCTCTTTTTCTTTTTCCAGAAAATTGCAAAAGGTATGCAGGTAATTCAAGTTATGCAGACTACTATTATCCCCAGATAATAGAGGGCACTCTGCGCTGTGTCTCAAGATGTGTCAAGGGCACTCAAGTCTCCATGAACTGCTTCAATGGTGTTTGTCGTCTCTCTGAAATCGGCCCTCAGTGCACGTAAGTAGGCAAAGGGAGTAGGAGTACCAAAGGAGTCCTTAGATCCAGGTTCATCAGTCCACCAACTACTTAAATCTTGAAATAGTTACTAGTTCTAACAGGGATGTTCTTCCACCTTCCTAAACTTTTCTGCCTGCACAATCTCACATTTTCCTTAAATTTCATACAAAAGCTGTTATTAACATAGTTGTTATCAAAAATTATATTAAACCTGTAAAATTTTGAAATGTTGTCTTCCTCTGATCTATGCAAGGATTTGGGGCTTTATAATCCTGGGGGATTTCAGTCTCCATGCATTGGGGGCTAAGTTAGGAGATGCTCAGAATTTTATGGCTGTCATGACAATCATGGGACTCATACAGGTAGCCACAAGCTTGTTCTGGTTTTTACCTTGGAGCAGTTGTTTTATGATCCACATATGGAGAAAATTTCTGTCAGTCTTCGTTGTGCACAAATTACTTTCTCCAGGGATCTATGGGTTTCCAATAGAAACTTGGGAAATTTCCCAATAACCATGCAGTTAGTTCCACAATGACTCTCTGAGCTCTCTAAGAAGGATTTGGTGAGAGTGCTGGAAGAAATTGCTCCCAAATGGCTTCTTCCTATATGCAGACTTAAGAGCATTTCATGGTTCAACACAAGAGATTCCCAGAGCACTGAAGACATAACATTAACAACCAACATGGCCAAAGATGGGTATGAACCCAAAGTTCTGCTTCCACTGTGCAATAAGGATGATGTCACTACTTCTCTGATCTTAGTGTAGCAGCAGAGTGTCATTCAATGACATCGTTTAGGGCAACTCAGATTCTCTTGGGGGATGACAGATGAAAGATCTGCCTCACAGCTACTACAAAAACAACATGTGAAGTTTGTGTACCAAATGTTGTTTCTCGAACACTCATACCTGGATTACAGTAATGCCCTTTACTTGAGGATGCCTTTGGAGACTATTTGGTAACTAGAACTGGTCCAAAATCCAGTGGAATGCTTTCCAATATATCCAAGTTATTTCAGCAGATCTTTGCACATCTTCCAAATGTTGCTTTGATTCCCAGTACATTTCTGGGTATAATTCAAAATGCTAGTTGTTGCCTATAAAGCTCTTTATGGTTTTGTTCCTCAATTTCTACAAGATTGCTTCCTCCAAGCAGAATCTACCCAACCTATGCACTCCATCTGAGAAAGTATGCCTGTGACTTGCTCTCCCCAGATGGCTTGGGTGCTGACAGCACAGCAGGAAGCTTTTTCCATAGCTACCCCAAATCTGGAAATCTCTTTTTCTGTCCTAGGAAGTTAGGATGGCTCCCTCCTTACCAATGTTCCAAAACCAGGTGAAGGCCATCCTCTTTCATCAGACACCAGAAGATAGGTTGCAGGAATGGGACATCTATTCACTTCCTGATAGTTTTGGTTTGATGACTATTGGTATTAATGTATTGTGTTTTCATGTTTTCATGTTTAATATGTTTAATTATGTTTAATTATTTTAATTTTATGATTTTTCAATGAAGTTGTTCTATTGGGAGCTACCCAGAATCTTCTGAAGTGGGCCACATACAAATATTGTAAAATAAAAAAATAGGGAGAGCTTTCTTTATCAATTCCTCTCTCTTTCCCATAGTTGCAATCATTTGGACCTGTTCTGGTACCTGGACAGTTACTGCCAATTACGCGTCCAAAAGAGTGCTCTGGGCCTTGGTCTTGCCCTGGCTGTGCTCTTCGTAGTCAGCATCATCCTTATTATCATCCTCATCAGAGCCAAGCAAAAGAAGTATGGGACCAGGTAAGAGGCCTAGGAAGTCTACTGGTACAAAATAACAGAGGAGAACATGGATCCTTGTACCATCTGATTGAGAAGGATGCATACATGTGAGAAGACCCAGAAACCCAGAAACCTTTAATATATAGAAGAAATGGCTATTCCTGGTTATTTAAGGGCAGATCCATACATTCTGTTTGGCTCATCACCAGTATGCCCCATCTGGTGCTTCCTGAGTGCAGGAACAGATGATGACATCTTCCTCCAACTCCAGCCCATTGCAAATGTAACCCCTGCCCATATCTTCCAGCTTTCTGACCTGAGCCATATTATGCCTTTCAGAGAGGTCTCCAGCACTTTGTTCCATCCTAGTAGCAGCCCCAGCTCTGACTGGCTGCAGTACCTGGCATGTCCCCTCCCTTCCAACATCTGGTTGTTACCCTGTGCAACCATTTAGCCCTGGATTGCCAGGCTGCAATGTTCTCCACATTTTAAAATAATCATTCAGTTAATAAAACAATGGCCTATTGAATCAATGAACTAGCATCAACCCTAGAAGTTCAGGATCCTTGAAACCCTTGTCTCTCCCAGTAGCTGCCCTTTCAATTTTTGCCCAGGCTGGGTATAACATGCTCCCCTCGCATTCCAGTACCTGTCCAGGGTACTCCAAAGTTTCCTTCCCCCCCCCCGCTTTTTTTTAATCTTTAAGTTGCAATGTAGGAATGTTATTATTTTATTTTTATGAAACTGACCTTTGTTTCTATGAAGCAGAGCAATGGTGCTACAGTAAGGGGAAAAAAGAAAACGAAATGGTCTACTTTAGTGTCCAATATGGGAAGGGTATGTGTGTGAAGGCATCCACGTGTGCAAGTATCTGGGAAAGCAAAGTAAAAGTGCAGGGACTAGTAAGGAGGGAACAATCTCTAAAAGGAAAATGCAGGCACTGATAGACCGATCCATATAGGAGCCAACGCAGTGAGGTTTGCCTTCTCTGCAAGGATGAGAAGGGCAAGCAGTAGGAAAATGACCACTCAGATTTTGCAGTGGTCGTTTTCTGGACTGAGCCCCAGCCCAACCCTGTTACCAACACATTATAGTCCAGAATTTCTGAAGTTGGCTTAAGAAACAGCTGGGAGCAGCATGGGAGAGAATTGGTTTTGGGCTGCCCCTAACAGGTGAAAGGCTACCATTATTAGAAAATGAAATATTTGGTCATCCATGGTGCAGGTGAGTAGTGAAGAGAACCATCTGTACAGTGAGAATAAGTTCTACCTTGGGTTTTTTACATTGATCTGTGTTTGTTCTTGCAGCAGTTCTGCTGATGCTGACATCTGGTATGGACAGGATGCAGATGAAGAGTGGATACCTTCAGGGGATCTGAACATTATGAATAAAGCAGCAGTCTCCTCCTGGGATAGTAAGTATTTGTTCTGCCATGAGCAAGATGACATCTGTGGCAAACACAGGCAGGGTAGAAGTTTGCTGTCTGAGGGTCAGGATTTTTTTCTCCAAAGCTTAGACCCAAAAGTCTGATGAAGTGTAAGGAGCTGCTGTTTTGTCCCTAGAAAGACTGTAGATGGGATGTTGGGTGGGGGGATGGCATGGTCATCCTAATACTATGGATTGTTTTTCTTTAGAGCATCAAGACAGAGATAAAATGTTCAACCTATCACTTGACTCAGTAGATACTTCAATGCAGGTATGTACAGCTGGATTTCGCTTCACCTCAAAGAGAAAATACATACTGTCTAAGTTGGAGAAGGGCATCACAGTCTGTATGATTATAAAACATGCTGGCTGGTAGGAATAGAATTTAGTTTCTCAGAGATGAATTAGTTAAGGTTGAAATTTGTGGATGAGCATCTAAATGAAGTCCTCTGGTATACTGGAACTGTAAAAAGATTTTGATTAGAAGTGGGGGTCCTTCAAGGATCTCTACTCAGACGTGCTCTTTTAAAATTGTTCATAAATGATCTGTCTTCAGGGATGACTAGTGGCCAACTTGCAGTTGATACCAAATTATTCAAGGTGGCAAAACATAAAATGGAGATTTATTTATTTATTACAATTGCTTTTATGCCACTTCTATCATGTGACTCTAAGTGGCTTAGAGCATAATGTAGAGTACATATGATACAGTAAAATGTGTCAAAGTTATATAGCAGCAATAGTAATAATATACACTATCAATGTAAATTCCATATAACAACAACATACTACTGTCATATACAGTAACATCGAACAACCAGATTCATCTCAGTTCAGGTACATTTCTCATACTTGCCCCAGTCTCCAAATGTAGATCTAAAAAGCCACATTTTAAAAATATTTTTCTGAATAGTAAGAGCAAGGATGCAGTTCTTATATTTGGTGGAAAGGCATTCCACACCTGGGAACTCACTTCCAAGACTCCTCTTGTTGCACCTCACATGGGGTGGGGACTCTCCATAGGCCTGGCTTGGGTAAGCACATTCTGGTTGGAGCAGGTGGTTTTGAAGGTAGCCAGGTCCCAAGCAGGGTAGGACTTTAAAGGTGATCACTAGCCCTTGAATTGCATCTGGAAACAAACCATCAACTAGTGCAGCTTCTGCAATATTGCTGTTATATGACAATATAGGGTAGTTTTGGTTAATGTGCAGGCCATTGGACTTTGTACTATTTGCAGTTTCTGAGTGATCTTCAAGGGCAGTCTCATGTTCATCAGATTACAGTAGGCCACTTGGGAGGGTAACAAGAACAGGAGTGACTGTTACCAACACATTTTGGGCAGGCTCTATCTTTGGAAGCTCTTTATATTCATTTTAATTTTTGTCACTTAGAGTGGTATAAAAAATCCTTCCTTTGTGTGTATGCTGAGAGGTCTGAATTGTGCTGCTGATCAGGAAAGAGATCCTGGGGTTGTAGTGGATGGCACAATGAAAGCCACAATCTAGTGTATGGCATTTTTCTGATTCACCTGATAGAACTTAGATTCCACCTTCTAAGCAGTCCTCCTGAGCAGCACGGAACTACAGGATCCTCTCATTTACTGCAGCCTGAGAAAAGAACATCTCAGAACCTCTGACCAGACTACTGGTCACATTTTAATTAATTTAAGTTGTACATTATTTTAAGAGTTAATATCCTAATGTCATACCTAGTCTTGAAGGAACATTAGATTGTCAATTTATACTTCTTTTTTGCAGTTGCATTTCCAGAAGCCAGTAATAACGACTGACTGTTGATCTCACCCTGGGATACATCCTGGATCTTCCTCTTGAGTAGCTGAGATGAACAGCTAAATTAACATCCTAACAGTTGTACCAAATAGCCACCAATGGGCTGGTGGGTCTGATGTGCGGCATTGATAACGTTTACCTTCCCAATTGTCTTATTCTTAAATCGTCAATTGTTTAATAAACCAAAGAAAGAATTAAAAAAGATATTGAGTACAGCAATCAATTAAGAACATTAAATTGTGGAGTCCTCTCTTCTATTGGTAACATTAAAATTGCTTGTAGAAACTATTTTATATGACATTTCATTGTAGAGGGAAGGAGTTTACAGTTGCTTCTTCAACATGATTTAGAGCCCTCTGATCTGGATATGTATGGTTTTCAAACTTGATGCTGCATGATAAAGTTCACTGATTTGCTTTTGCTGAAACACTGTACGGACCTTAATATAACTGGGGGAATTAGAATAATCCTTCTGAAAATGTTTTCTTCTATAGTTTGATAAAAAAAGACAAATTGAACCCACTTTTTCATACATCTTCTGTTGTTTTAATTAAATTAAAATTTAATTAATTAAATATTTGAATTTAAATTAAAAATAATTTACGCTATTTTATTTATTAATTTAAAATTAATTAATTCATTAAATTCATTAAAGAGCCAGTTTGGTGTAGTGGTCAAGGTGCTGGCCCAGAAATCAGGAGATTGGGAATACTAGGCCTCCCTTAGACATGAAAGCCGGCTGGATGATTTTAGGCCAGTCACTCTCTCTTAGCCCTACCCATTTCACAGGGTTGTTGTTGTGGGGAAAATAGGATGCTGGAGTATTATGTATATATCTGAGGGACTGCCTTTCCCTGCTTTCATCTGCGTGTCCTACCAGATCCAGCAGAGGGTATGTTGCGGGTTCCCTTGCCTAGGGAGCTACATTTGACAGGCCCCAGGCTATGGGCCTTTTCTGCTGTGGTGCCTGCACTATGGAATCTTCTCCCCCCTGAGGTGAGGCAGGCCTCCTCATTGTTGAGCTTCTGGAGGTCCCTTAAGACTTGGTTATGCCAGCAGGCCTGGGGACCCCGGGATGGGGGAATTAGTGAGGTGGCTCCCTTATTTTTAACATCCTTTTATTCTTTGTTTTATTTTGCTTTTTATATTTTTAATGTATTGATTTTTTTTTTAAGCTTTGTTGTATGCCGCCCAGAGTCACCTGTGGTGAGATGGGTGGCTATATAAATGGGTTTAATAAATAAATAAATATAATATATTTATTTATATATTATAAAT